AGGTGTCTATTTACTTTGTTGATCACTCAGTATATATATACATATATATATATATATATATATCAACTGTCATATCAGAAATAAGGATTGACAGTATAAATCTAACTATACAACAGCTCTACCTTTTCTGGCAACTGAGATTCAACTTCTTTTTTCATACGTCTCAACAGGAAAGGACGTAACACCTTATGCAGACGTCGAATAATAAGGATAGTCTCTTCTTCATTTAACTCCACCTATAATAAAATTTCATTTTCATTGAAAAAAATCTAATATCTCCACTTAACCCTTTAAGTACCTGCCTGGATCTGTTATGGATGTCATGAAGTTTTACAAATTTAGATTGAAAATTAAAGTAGACAACTTTATTATCAGAGTATGTCAAGAAAATTAGCATCAGAATGTAGTTTATAATTTACATTTTTATATTATCCAAGTCTTAATTTCTATAAATAATATTCAAAAAATTCTTTATCTTCATTTGTGTTGACAGATAATGTGTGTACTCATGCTTTCAATACTCCCCCATTTCAGTTTATATAACTTCAATGGTATAGCATCTACACTATCTAAGTAATATAAACACAATATATAAATAATGACAAGGTCAAATATACAGTTTCAATGCCATATCTTTTCTCTTTACTGAACTATCAGTAAATTTTTCCAACCCATAAAAGAATTCTCACCAATCTATCCTTAACTTTCAAGGCAGTTTTCAAACCCACATGTTCTTACTTGGTGTACACATTTATAACCAATATTTCAAGACAGCAATAATAATTTTGAATTTGTTGGCAACAGACAATGTGATTAACATGTGAGTGGGGGTTAATGAAGTTGATGCTCAGGGCATTAACAATTTTCTTTAACCTATTTACAGATTAGTTAGAAAATCAGCTAAATTATAGTTGTTTTGGGTTATTATTTTTTGTGAGTTATGTATTAGTTATTTTCCAAAATGTATATTTGAAATGTAAAATGAGCTCAAAGAAAAATTACTAGGCCTATCTTGCTATTCAAGGACACAATTTCCTGCCATACAATAGAGTTGTGCATGAGAATCTGCTAATGTGTTCCCACCATGATGTGTTGGTTTTTTTAGGGATGAATAAACTGTATAATAAAACCAACAAATTAAGTGTGAAAAAGTAAACAGCTAATGGTTTCAAAGAAAAAACATATGATTTTAATTTTATTTCATAATTTTCAAAATTTCATTTTACTGTCCACAGATGATTTAGCTACAGTTAATATAAGGGTAGAGAAAATAACATATAAGCTATAACATTTTACCTTAACTTAAAAAATCTTCGGATATCTATCAACCCTTTCGAGATGGGTCACAGGTGAAAGCCATGTCACCTCGTTTGTTGACTCGCATTCAAAATTTTATTGAACTACTATTTTATGAATTTATGCAAATAAGTTTGTTACAAACTGTAGATTGTAATTCAAATTTTAGTACTATATATTACTCAATTTAAAAGCAAATATTAAAAAAACACAGATAAACATCAATTTTTGTGGGTCGTGTGATATATTGAATGCAGCACTGGTTCAAATTAGATGTTTGTGAAGTCAAAATACTAAGTCTATAGTTTCAAACGAATTAGAAACTCAAATTACCAATACTG